AGAGCACCTGCGAATTTCCAGGGAGAGGTCAGGGTGTCTGGGGGCTACAGGGGTGATGACATGGGATGGGGACAGTGTGACATGGGCGAAGGCTCAGTGTGACATGGGCCAAGGCTCAGTGTGGTAAGTGGGGGGTGTCTAGTCATAGAGGTTCATACTGAAGTTGAGGGCAGGCAGTGGCCAGGCTAGAGGTGGAGGTCACTCACGGTTTGTGAGGGCTGGGGAGGGAGCCGAAGGTAAGCAGGGGCTGTAGCAATCTGGGGAAATCATGTTAGGCAGGTAGGCACATGAGCTGAGGTTTCTCTTCCTCATAAAGGAGCAAAAAAAAGTCTTGGCTTATACTTCATCTCTCTGGGGTCACACATCTCCCCTTGGAGAAATTCCTGGGGCTACTTTGGGAGGGCAGACACCAGGCAGATGGGGTCTGGCTGTGTCTCTTCCCTCTGATGCCATCCTCCCTTAGCTCAGAGCACCTCACTCCTTGGAGCATTCCCACCCTCCTTGTAACTTCTCCCTTTGCAAAGCTTCCAGGAGGTCAGCCTGTTGGCAGTCCTCGTCCCCCCACCTGCCCAGTGGTTTTGCTAGAAAAGGGCTGGAGACAGCAGACATGAACCTCCACATTCTTGGCTTCAGCATTCTGACAGTGATTGGTGAGTGCAGCTTCCTCTGGCAGCTTAAACATTTTTAAAGTTCATATTGGAGGGACATAAGGAAATGGGTCTTGATTAGAGGGGTGGAGAAATCATCAGTCAGAGATATAACCTAGGACCCCAGTGACTGGCAGATTTTTCTAACACAAAGACAGTCAAGAGCCCATGGATTTCCTCTGGCTCCTTGGACACAAAAGGAGATCTGGACTGAGAGACTCAGAGTGGGGTGTTGCTGTTCAGCCACGAAGGGAGTGAACAGGAAAGCAGGCAAAATCCAGAGGATGGAAGGGAAGACAGGTGTGTAAATTAGAGGGTAAAGGCAGAGAGAGGTCCAAGGGAAACTCAGCAAAGGATCTGAAATGTTTCTATAATAATATCAATGACAGAGTAGTTGCTTCAAAGCACATCCACATAAAATGTCTGGGAGTCCTGCCCTCTGGAGCACCTGCCTCTGTCACTAAGACTCTGTCCGCTTTCCCTTATCTGGCAGCAGTAACAGCAACAATTGTATCACTAGCACAAGGACTAGAAAGAACAATCCTGTTATCAGAAGGGACGAACATCAAAACAGGGCCAACCTTTTTGGTATTCCTGTACTCAGAATATGAGTCTTGTCTGGGGACCTTGATCCATGAGCAGTGGATTCTCACCGCAGCCCACTGCTACTTACCGTGAGTGATGGGGTTTGAGGGAGCCACTCCCCCCACCCTTAGTCACTGGGACTGCTCAGTGGGGACTGAGCCTCTGCTGTGAGGAGACTTGTCCAGCCTGAGGAGTGGCTGGACCTGGTGGGGAAGATGCCCAAGAGGTTCTAAGTTAGATTCCCAGTGGGGATGATGCGGATGGAGGGAATCAGGGAAGCCAAGACCAGGGGGTGGACCAGTGAGGGAAAACCCTGCACAGCATGCATAGTGGATCCCGGAGGTGTGGAGCAGCAGAGGGAACTGTGCGTTAGCCAGGCCAGGAGATAGGTGTCTTGGCAAGGTAGGGAGAGAACTGTAGGGAGGGAACTGTTGCAAAGGTGCAGAGAAAGTTTTTGGGGAAAGAACACATGAAAGTTGAATGTAATTTTCCCCAACTAATACATCATGGCCTATTCCAGACATCTTGAGGTAGACATTGCTTCCAAAAGGGATGATTTTGATGATGCGAAGGGGAAATTAACATACCATTTGTTTGTCCATCACCCAAACTTCACCCGTGATTCTGCTGAGAATGACCTCATGCTCATCAAGCTGAAGGACCCCTTAATGCTCAATGATGAGGTGAAGCTGGCCATTCTACCTAATACCACAGATGACAGAGAAGGGGAGACTTGCACTGTCTCTGGCTGGGGCTGGCCGTGGCATGTCACCTGTAAGTACCATAAGACTCACCTTAGACTTTGCTGAACCTAACTCTTGAAGGTGATCATATAACTATTATTACAGAACTTGAGAAGTGAAAGGAGTCTTAAAAATTGCATGTTTTAAACTTTAATTTTATATATAGACTAGAGGTCCGATGGATATACCCCTAGGTTAAATGGCACCTTGTGGTTAGCGGTCTCAACTCTGGTGGGTTTTTTTCTTTTTTTCATCATCCCTGAGGTAAAATTGAAAGGGTGGATCATGGGATTAGAAGAGG